TGCCGAGCTGGCCACCCAACCTTAGTTCTGATGCTCTTTGTCAGTGTCCTGGTGACGTGGCTTGAGGCTGCTAAACTCACTGGGGGTTTCCAGGCCCCCTGGAACATCTCTCATCCATTCAATGTGCAGAGGCTGGGTGCCGGACTCCATATTGCCACGGACAAGATCAACTCCGAGCTGGCAGACTTCGGAAATTTCAGCTCGGAGTTTACTTACACCAACTCAACCTGCAGCGCCAAGGAGTCTCTTGCTCTTTTCATCAGCCAGGTCCAGAAAGAAGAAATTTCTGCCCTGTTTGGACCAGCATGCCCAGAAGCAGCAGAGGCAGAGTATACAGCCTTCTAAGAAACTCTGAGTTTCCATTGGAAAGGGTGGTCTTAAGGATGATGGTATAGACTTGAATAATCTCTTGACTTGGATGACATTATTATAAATAATAACTGTATAAGTCTTGTGTACCATTTCTTTGAGATGTAATTAGACCATGCAATTAGAACAATTAATACTCTCTTTAAAGAAAGCCTCCCAAATCAATAGTTGTTAGTTCACTCACTAACTTGATGTTCACTAACAAACTTGTTGATTGTTTGGCCTTGTGCTGTTGGATATGGACTCATTATTCACTCTAACATTGCCAGCCACGTGGCTCAGAAAAATTAAGAAGAAATTGAATGCTTGGCTTTAAATAGAAAAATAACATCTGTTTGTGTAGGTTTCCCTTTGGCATGTATAATAAACTATTCAGTGATGGGAAAGAAAGAGGGAAAGGATGAAGTGTGACAGATTGCCATAAGCTAAGGCAAGAAAATGAGAGATGTGAATGATTTGTGTTTGTTTAGCTAATGAGATTAGCTTTGTTGATGTCCTTGGGTATCTTGTGCTCTGAGAGGTATACATGCAAAGGCTGAATAGATGAGGCCACACAGTTCTCGCGTTCAAAAATACCGCAGAACTATCATTAGTGGGTGCTATAGAGTTAAGTTTACATTTGAATTTGAATCTTAGTGTCTCCTAGAATTCCCCATTTGACACATTCCCCATTTGATTAACAAAGCCTACCCATTCTTCAAAATCAAGTCAGAGTCAAATGCCACGGAGCCTTTCTTTATCCCTCTACCCTCATCGTTCACATCTCTAATTCCCAAATCAGAAGTAATTTCTTACTTCTCTAAGCTCCTCTAAATCTATTGTCTATAAATATTGAAGGGCATATTTAACTCTACAGCTGTTTTTACACGTCTTAACTCCTGTAATAGTTGATCACAAGATCTTTTTAAGAGGAAGGTCTCTGAAGTTCCCTGTAAATAGTAGGCTCCTAGTGGAAAATGAATAAGGAACAAATTAAGAAAAAAGTGAGTAGTACCTATGAGTGTGCGCTCTGTAACCACATTACCTGAATTCCAAGCCTGCTCCACTATTTGCTAGTTTTGGAACTTATTAATACATTTCTGTGTCCCCATGTTTTCATCTCTAAGATGAGATGATAATACCTACTTGATAGAAAATGTAAGAATTGAGATAATATATGTAAGCTCTTAGTCGAATGCTTGGCACATAGTAATCACTAAATAAATGCTGGCTATTGTTACTCTTGTGCTCTGAGGTTTGGCATCCTTAAGTTGGATCCAAGACGTTAACATAAATATTCCAAAAGAGAGGGGAAGTATGACCCATAGACTCACTGAATCCAAAGTTTATGCAGATATTTTACAATGTGGTTGGAGTGTAGCAAAACTCAATTATGGAAAGACATCCCTTTGTTACTTTCAAGGGTATTGGTTTGCTGGCTTCCCCATGTTTGACTTTGTTGGACAAACAGCAAAACTGGAGAACAACTTCTTGTATGACACCTATGTGAAACTTGTGCTACGCATGCACAGAGTTGGTGATGTGCTCCAGAAAAGCCTCCAGTACCTGGGCTGGAAACACACTGGGATGTTTGGAGGTCACTCTGGGACTTCCTCCTGCGATGGAGTGGATGAATTGTGGAGGGTTGTAGGGAATGAACTCAAATCCCATTTCACCATCACCGCCAGCATGAAATACACCCACAACAATCCAGCCTTCCTTCAAGAGAACCTTAGGAGCCTGTCATTGATTTCCAGGGCTAAGTAGGAAAGAATCTTCTGTTGCTTATGTTTAGAGGGGCAAATAGAAAAAAATGATTGAAAAAAAAACTAAGAATTTTTCATTTTTCTATGAGGGTAAAAAGCAGATGAAAACAGAGTATAAAATTAAGGATACATAAAAGCATTACCAAACAACAAAGTTTTTTTTGTCTAGAGTGAAATCCTCGATGCTACAGTGTTATGATGTACAGAGTAATTTCTGGAAGCACCTGCTAGGTGGGCTGGGTCTTGGACTTGGATGTTCGTTCAGAGAATGGCCTCTGGAGACAGACATCCCTAGGTTTGAAACCTGCCTCTGACACTTTCTAGCTGTGTGTTCTTGAGCAAGTAGCTTAACCTCTCTGTGCCTCAGGTACCTTATCTGTAAAACAAAGACAATCATCTTACCTACCTCATAGAATGGTGAGGATTAAATAAGATCATGCCTGTAAAGTGCTGGACATAGTAACTGATCAACACGCCGTAGTGAATATTGTTGTTGTGGTGCCTCTAAGGCTCTACTTTCTAGCAGGAATTAGTAGCGGACTCCTTTCTCTTCTTCCAATAAACCAAGCTCCTTCTGGCTTTGGGACTTTGGGACTTGGTATCCCTTGTCCTGGAGTTCCACTGCAATCCCACCTCATCACGCCCAGTGTTCTTTCCATAGGTAGCTTGCTCTCATCCTTCCAGACTCAGCCCAGAGCCCATCCCGTCTCCTCTGAGGGGCCTCTCCCAACTACTTGACATGGAGCGATTCCCCCTCCCCACATTAGTATCACAGCATTCTTTTCCCCCTTCATTCATCAGAATCTTGAACGATCTCTCTAATCTCTTCACTTGTATATTGTCTGTCTTAATGTCATCTCCCTGAGAACAAGGACCTTCTCTTTTGCTCACTGTCGTATCCTGTGCTTAGCGCATTGCCTGGCACCTAGCTCGAGCTCAGGTAAATAGATTAAAATTTATCTCATTTAAAAGATAAGTCACTAAGGACTTCCCTGGTGGCACAGCAGTTAAGAACCCACCTGCCAATGCAGGGGACACAGGTTCAAGTCCTGGTCTGGGAAGATCCTACATGCCACGGAGCAACTAAGCCCGTGCGCCACAACTACTGAGCCTGCGCTCTAGAGTCTGTGAGCCACAACTACTGAGCCCAAGTGCACCACAACTACTGAAGCCCGCGCGCCTAGAGCCCCTGCTCCGCATCAAGAGAAGCCACCGCAATGAGAAGCCCGCGCACCACAACGAAGAGTAGCCCCCGTTCTCCACAACTAGAGAAAAGCCCCAGAGCAGCAACGAAGACCCAGCGCAGCCAAAATTAAATAAATAAATTTATTAAAAATAAATAAATGAATCACTAAAATAGATAACCAACAAGGACCTATTGTATAGCACAGGGAACTATACTCAGTATTTTTAACAACCTATAAGGGAAAAGAATCTGAAAAGGAATATATATATGTGTGTGTGTATATATATATATATGTATATCTATATCTGAATCACTTTGCTGTACACCTGAAACTAACACAACATTGTAAATCAATCATACCTCAATTAAAAAGAAAAATTCTGAAGTAAAAAAAAGCATGCTCCAATTTAAAAATAAATACATAACAATAAATCAGTATTTCATTTTTGTTCCCTCAAAAAGCATGCTGATGTGTTTGGATGGAAGAAAAATACCATGGCCTACTCCTTTTCCCCCCATCCCATCTCAGACAGTCTCAATGCTCCTGGTTCTAGGTCCTCCGTCAACGCAACCTACCTGATGATGAGTCACAAGCCAGATCTATTGCTCTGAGTCAGTTAAACGAAAAAGCTAGAGCACAGAAGTGGTCTCAAACTTTTTCGATTTGTGCTTTGGGAGAGAGCTGCAGCGAAGACTTTAGTTCCGCAAGACGAAAGCTGCCAGTTTGTATGCTACCGGCATGGTTAAAGAAGGACACGCTCTGGGAACAGTTTAGACCTTCCTATTTCCTAAAGCGTGCTCAAAGAAAGACAAAGTTCATGTCTCATTTCTAGTGGTTTTAGGCTAGACTTTAAAACGTGTGTATCTCTGTGTGTGTGTGTGTGTGTGTGTATACACATGTGCAACTGGCTGACTGTCTTCTCTTACAGTTCTTATCTTAATCTGCAGCTCAGAAGATGCAAAACTTATCCTGCTGGCTGCAGAGAACCTGGGACTCCACACAGGAGAATTTGTCTTTATCATTTTGCAGCAGCTGGAGGTGGGTGCTGACGAGCCGTCAACGGCTCCCGCAGGAAGAGGTAACAAGCATGCTGCACTTGCTATGCACCAGATGCATTAGCTCACTGAATACTCAACCCTAGGAGGCAGCTACTCTTGTGTCCTCAAATTAAGATCAAGAGACTGAGACTGAATTGAAAGAACCTACCCAGAGTTCGTTTGCACAGTTGCTGGGACGGGGACCCGGGCCTTGAACCAGGCTGCTGATTCTGGAGCCTGGTCCTCTGTAGTCTACATCAGCAAACACCAGCTGAAGAAAAACGGTCATTCCTCCCGGGTGGCTGAGACCTCCCCAAAGGCTCTCAAACTCGGTGGCTCTCACTTTCTTTTCTTCCATGGCCACCTGTGTTTGAGCCCCAACAATGGCCTGGAGAAACCAACACTCTGGTCTAATGAGGCAATCTGTAGGTGGTTTGGTTCTTTTGGTAATGATAGGGATGGCTGACATGTACCACGTACCTCCCATGAGTACCGAGTTATACATTATACCTGCATCGGTGCACTAGATTTTCCCAACAGCCCTGTGAGGCAGATAGAGAGTCCATGCATTGTTTACATGCATCATTGCATTCAATATTTCCAGCAGCCTTATAAGGTACAGATTATTAGCATTCCAACTCGCAGATGAAAAAATTGAGGCTTAGAGAAATAGGGTAACTTATCCAAGATCTTGGACCTCCTAAGCTGGTCTTTTGGACTCTGGGACTGAGTCCCTGACCCCAACAGCTCTGCCTTGTGGAGTGTGTACTGAGTGCCAGGCCCCATTGTGAGAGCTTGATAAACTAACTCTAATTACAGCTCACACCACCCTAAGGGGAGATACTTTCATTTTCCCCATTTTACAGAAGAGAAAACTGAGGTCCTGAGAGGTGAAATAACTTAACCAAGGCCACACGACTAGTATGAGGGAGACCTAGTAGTCAAACCAGGTAGGCTGGCCTCAGTGTCTGTACATTTAACCACCACACAACACCAACAGGCTTCTAAAATAAAGCCCCTTGTATTGATATTTAGCTAGGGACACACTGTGTAATTTTTCCAGCAGTTTTATCTTTCTAAAATGAGCTTGTTTTATATGATCATAAGAAGTTGATATGGGGCGAAACGGAGTACAGGAAGATGCATAATAATGCTCCAGGTTTCTTTTACCTTTTTATCATTAAGTATTTCAGATTGCCAAAAGTGTCGCAGGTTTCGTTGGGCAGCCGGTTGGAATTCTAATCGTAAGCGAAGCTTTCCCGAACCTCCTCCTACCTTCCCTTTTCATTGCCATCCACCCCCTTTCTCTTCACTTGTCCTCTCACCTCTGCCTGCAGACAGACGAGAAGGGGAGAGGATGCACCAAGTCTCAGGATCAGCAGGGAAGCCCTGCCAACCCCCTCGTCACGATCTCCCCAAACCTTGATAATCAAATTCCAATTGGCTGGAAGTGCAGAAAGAATATAGGACTAAAAATAGACCACATGACATCCGTGAAAGTGAATTCATGCTGCTTTAAAAAAAGAATAGCATAAATCCATTCCCTAAAAGTGTTCCCAATATAGGCTGAAGTTGGCAAAAGTCAAGTTGCAGAATACCATTATAGCATGATACTATTTATGTAAAATGCACATACGCTCACACACACCTCTGTACACGTCTAGAACATTCGGATACCTCTCAGAGGAGACAAGAGGGAGCCGTAGGGAAATTGGGGAAGATCTTACCGTCTTTCACATATATACACACAATGAGTGGGTGTTACTTTCATAATAATAATAATAATAATGTAGGTAATAATGATAATAACAAACGACTTAAGCCACAAGCAGAAATTTGAGAATCGACAGTTGTAAGTTTTTCAAGTTTTTGCTGCCCATTGTTAAAAGGTAAGCTTTCTGAATATTAGTTGCTCGATGCCCCAAGTAATCTTTTCTTATTTATTGATTGATTTTTTTGGTTTCCTTCCCACTGCTTCGAAGCTAACTAGAAAACATAGACTTTACATGGCAAGTCTTCCAGAGCCATTGTGTTTCCAAGGATTAGAATAAAAATTCACATTTGTTGTTGGGGACTTCCCTGGTGGCGCAGTGGTTAAGAATCTGCCTGCCATTGCTGGGGTCATGGGTTCGATCCCTGGTCCAGGAAGATCCCACATGCCGTGGAACAACTAAGCCCAGGCGCCACAACTACTGAAGCCCGCGGGCCTAGAGCCTGTGCTCCACAACAAGAGAAGCCACTGCAATGAGAAGCCCGTGCACAGCAACGAAGAGTAGACCCCGCTCATGGCAACTAGAGACAGCCGGCACGCGGCAATGAAGACCCAACGCAGCCAAAGATAAATAAATAAATAAATAAATAAAGTTGATGTTGACTATTGCTTAGGGTATTTCCTACAGAATGGCTACATTTATTTATTTTTCAGGACAGTTTTTGGAAGGAGGTATTGACAAATCAGAAGGTGATGCACTTTCCCTCAGTCTACAAGTCAGTGATTCTCATAGCCCTCAGCTCCTCCCAAGAAGGCCCTGGAGATGAGGCTTCCGAGAGCTGGTCCACCGAAGGCTGCGGGGGCCGCCCTTCCACGGCCCCCTCCACATGCTGGAGCAGGTCTGATGGGGGTCTTCCTACACAGGTCCCTCCTCCCTTCCTTGAGAATATCTGTGTTTGGCCACTCCCCAGGCTCCTAACACAGACACAGACACACACACACACACACACACTTCTTTGTCTTCCACAGCCCCAAATAAACAGTGGCCCGATGAGATCTTGTGAAATCTGCACCCCAGGTCCACACGGAGGACAGAGGTTACTAGATGAGTGATCGGTTGGCCTTTGGAGTCAGAGTCCTGGGCTTCCATCCTAATTCTGCTATTTACTAACTACGGGGCTTTGAGGTGAATTGTTTAACCTCCCTACACCTCAGTCTCTTCACCCAAAAATGGGACTGATAATGACATCTGCCTTCCAGACTGTGGTTTTGAGTATCTAATGACATAGTACATGCAAGTAGCAGAACAGATACCAGTGGGTGCTCAGACCATGACAGTCTCCTTTCCCAGCAGGATGCCATGACCAGGAACCAGAATGGAGTAGTCAGAGATGTGGAGCTAGGGCAGGTCAAGGCAAGCAGATGTTCTGAGAAGGCAGCCGGGAGACAGACTATCATCCAGTGGTAGTTCCAGTATGTGTGGGATGATGGGGCAAAATGTCTGATTAACTAGACCATTGGCCAGATCTGGAGCTCCTGCCAGAGCGGGGCCAAGCTGAGCTTGAAGGTGATGAGAAGCTACTGATGACAAGGGTTCCATTAGGAATGAGGCAGCTGATTGTGGATCCCAACGCACAAGGAAAGATGGTGGATCAATGAATATCTGGGGAGTCATCTCCTAAGTGTCAGCTCTGTACCTGGTTCTATGGGGAGAACAGTGCCTAGCGCCTAGTAGGCACATGCATTTTTGTTCACTAAATGAAGTATTGAAGACCTACTATGTGCCAGTTAGTACAATAGATACTATACCTATTCTGCCTCATTTAACTATCCTTATACTCACCACAATAGTGGCTTTATCCGCATTTTATAAATGAATGAACCGAGATTCAGAGAGATTCAGAGAGGTTCTGGAACTTACCCCAAGTCTCACAGTAAGTACCAGGGCCAGCCTGACTCCAAGATCCACCCTCTTTCAATTAAACCATATTCCCTCCTGCCTATGGCCTAAAAAGCTGTTCACAACCAGAAAGATCACGCAATCTAATTGAGAAAACAAGGCCTAAAGAGGAAAAGTGCAGTTGTGATACCTAGGTATACCAGCACAGGCCAGGATACGTGGAGGGTCCTCCTTTCTCTGTGGAATAATGGAGAACGTGTGCTATGTTACACTGTTAAGAGGATGGAGAAAGCTTGCTTCTAACTGAGGCCGGACTGTGATGTAGCAGGCCATGGGTTGTTTTTTTTTTTTAATCTTTTTAGAAATTAATTAATTTTTATTGACGGAGAAATCAAGAGCTTCACAGACAAGTAAAAGCTAAGAGAGTTCAGTACCATCATGGACCTTTTTCTACCCGGCCTTTGCTTCCCTCATCCAAGGTGAGCCGTTACTCTGCTTACTTTCACGATGCAGTCCTGCTGTATGCTGAGGCCGTGAAGGAGATGATAACGGCCAGAAGGGATTTCTGGGATGGGCGGCAGCTCGTCATCACTCTGAAAGGCTCCAATCAGACTGCTTTGCAGGGTAAGTGGCTTGACTGTGGTAGGTTTGCCGAACTCAGGCCAGCTGAGTCCGTGGGGCTTGGCGTTGTTGGGCGTGTGATTACAGAATTCCGCTTTCTCATGGAGATTCCGGCCCTCTGGGAAGTGTTGTTGAGGTTAAAGCTCCCAGCGGCCACCGTCTGTTCTTTCTGCTCTATCCAGAAGGCTGCCCAGACCAGGTGGGGGGCCTCTGGGGTCCCTTCCCGCCCCTGAAAAGTCTCTCCCACAGCTCCTTTCAAACCGAACCCATCAAGAATAAAACTCAAGAGGGTGGGACCCTCCTCCTGGTATCACTCCCTTGATCCTCCACAACCTGCATCCTCTCTGATGCAGTGCCTGTCTGAATCATGACCATCGGCCTTTAAGGATGGGGCCAATCCTATTTTGCTTTCCTTGCAGGTGTGAGGATAGGCTTGGAAGTGAACTGTTTTGAAATCACCCTGGGAGCTGGCCAACGGCCGTCATCTTGCTCTACTCCAGCTTTCTATTTTGTGAGACAGAGATAATACATACTGCCATATCTAATAATAATAACCAGCATCTATTGAGGGCTTACCTTATATCAAGCTGGGTGCCAAGAGCTTCTGTGCACTATTTCATTTAATCCTCACACCACCGATGAGGTATTACTATCCATAATATACTACACAGGTGAGTAACTCCAGGGTAGAAAAGTTACATACTTGCCCGTGGTCATAAAGTTACGAGATGGTGGAGCCAGAATTCAAAATAAGGCCTGTTTTTATCTCCAGGGCTCATGTTCTTTACTGTTGTGTAACACCAAGGAGTAATTAAAATATTGGGTTGGTCAAAATGTGCCTTTGGTTTTTAAGTCAAAATAAATGACACGTTTTTCATTTTCACCAAGAACTTTACCCTTTTCACCCTTTTGTTCCACTACCTTCTACCATTTTTCAGGCAACTTCATAGTTCAATCTTCCCAAAACTTTTAATCTTTTTGAGCAAAGAACTGTTCCAGGTGCTCTTACAGTCTTCCAGGGAATTGAAATTTTTACCATTAAGAGAATTTTGTAAAGACAGAAATAAATGGAAATCTGAAGGTGCAATATCTGGTGAATACAGCGGATGAATCAGGACTTCCCAGGCAGGCTGTAACAGTTTTTGCCTGGTCATCAAATAAACAAGTGGTCTTGTGTTATCTTGATGGAAGAGTATGTGTTTTCTGTTGACTAATTCTGGATGCTTTTCGTCGAGTGCCGCTTTCAGCTGGTCTAATTGGGGGTGGTACTTGTTGGAATTAATCGTTTGGTTTTCCGGAAGGAGCTCATAATAATGGACTCCCTTCCAATCCCACCATATACACAACATCACCTTCTTTGGATGAAGATCGGCCTTTGGTGTGATTGGTGGTGGTTTATTTCACTTGCCCCACGATCTCTTCCATTCCACGTTACTGTACAGTATCCACTTTTCATCGCCTGTCACAATTTGTTTTAAAAACGGAACGTTTTCTTTACGTTTAAGTAGAGAATTGCATGCGGAAGTAAGGTCAAGAAGATTTTTTTCGCTTAACTTATGTGGAACCCAAACATCAAAGTGATTAACATAACCAAGCTGGTGCAAATGATTTTCAGTGCTTGATTGGGATATTCTGAGTATATTGGCTGTCTCCCGCGTGGTATAACATTGATTTAACGTCTCGATTTGATCTCTATCAACTTCAGCTGGTCTACCCGACCGTGGACCATCGTCCAGAGAGAAAGCTCCAGCACGAAACCTTTTTTGTTTAAATAAATGTATTTATTTATTTATTTTGGACTGTGTTGGGTCTTCGTTGCTGCACGCGGGCTTTCTCTAGTTGCGGAAAGCAGGGGCTACTCTTTGTTTCAGTGTGCTGGCTTCTCATTGTGGTGGCTTCTCTTGTTGCGGAGCACGGGCTCTAGGTGTGCGGGCTTCAGTAGTTGTGGCTCATGGGCTCAGTAGTTTTGGCTCACAGGCTCTAGGGCGCAGGCTCAGTAGTTGTGGTGCGTGGGCTTAGTTGCATGTGGGATCTTCCCGGACCAGGGATGAAATCCGTGTCCCCTGCATTGGCAGGTGGATTCTTAACCACTGTGCCACCAGGGAAGTCCCTCCAGCACAAAACTTTACAAACCACTTTTGACACGTTCGATCAGTCACAGCTCCTTCTCCATACACTGTGCAAATCTTTTTTTTTTTTTATGTTTCAGTTGCGTTTTTATCTTTCTTGAAATAATAAAGCATAATATGCCAAAAATGTTGCTTTTTTTCCATCTTCAATATGCAAATGGCTACACAAAAATTCGCCAATTTTGATGTCTTTTTCTAAATGAAGGCAGATATGACAGCTGTCACATACAATCTAACAAAATTGTTTCGAGTGAAGTTAAAGACAACTAAGTGCTACTAGAGTCATCTTACGGAAAAAACCAAATGAACGTTTTGGCTAATCCAATATATGAAGTGCTTGGCACATAGTATATGCTCATTAAATGGCAGCTATTTATCTTTTCTTTGGCTTATCATTCCCTTAATAAATTAAGACTTAAACTTCATCCTAAATTTTCAAAAGGACAGCCAAGTCCTGCTCTTTGGGGCATTCATAGATTCAGTTTACAATGACCCCATCCACACCTTTTCCAAGTGGAAATATTAACTTGCTTCCCTTTCTTCTTTTCTTCCTGACCCTGAAGCATTTGCTTTAAAAAGGGGGATGAAGTGGGAGGAGTCTGTCTTCCTGCTCTCAGTTTAATCCCCTCTGTCAGATCAATTTATTTCCGGGTTCAATCCTGGTTATTGCATTTGCTGCAGCCCTTTCCCTGCGCAGACCTTGGGAGGGAGCCATGCTCAAGCCCCACATTCAGGATGCCAGCAAGTGGGCAAAGCAAGGCAGCGAGGGCTGTGGGAAGACCACGCACTTGGGTCCCAACAGACCTGTGTCTTCCTGGCTCTGGAAACTCCAAGGGGTCTGTGCCTCCAAGCCCTGCTTGCTTATTAGGAGTGGATGATGGTGCCTCCTCTGTGGGGTCAACTGGGACTAGATGTGTGAAATCACTACCGCCCTCAGTGCTGGGCACATGGCAGAAGCTTATGAATGTTAATGTTGTGTCCTGTCCCCAGTGGGAACAAATCATAAGTCCTAGGTCAGACCTTGGGTCCTAGTTTGGGGTGTGGAACTGCTGTACTTTACTCCTCTGGGATCTCTGATGTGTCCTTTGTGTGGCGGGAAGGGCACATCCTAAGCAAGAACAAGGAAGGCACCTGGGCCAGGTCTGAGCGCAATGCCTGAGCACGAACCAAAACCGGGAAGCAAGGGCCATGCTGAGAACAAAGCTTGCAAACTCGTGTCCCAGGGTCTGGCAGCGTGGAGAACGTGGGGGGAGTAGAATGGTAGCGGCTGGGAGGAGGCAGTGTCCCCAGCCCCAGCCAACCGCTGCCATGTCATTTGGCCTCCATTGGTCATATCTGATTGTTTGGGAAGCATAAATCTTGGGTTTTATGTGAAATTAGTTGGAAACTGCTTAACTTTTTTCTTTTTTTTAATGCTGGATGGTCCTCCCCAGTGTAGGCCTAACAGAACCAAGTGGGCCTTGAGTCCCACCAGGGTACCACTTCTGAACTATCTTCTTTTTTTTCCACTCTCCTTCTTGACTGCATCTTAGATTCCCTGAAAGGGCAAAAGACTCACGGGTGGCTTTCAGCAACTGCTGGGGAGGGCATTCCTCTGATACGACTCGGCAGGCTGGCATTTTGAGCCCCAAGCTCCTCTATGCTCCCTTTACTGTGTGCAAGTGCCTTTCTTTCCAGGAATCACCGGCCCCGTGTTTGTGGACTCCCAGGGAGAAAGACGCACGGATTACTGGCTCTATGCCCTACAGAAATCTCCAAATGGGTCCCTCTTTCTTCCTTTTCTTCATTAGGACAGCTGTCAGGAAGTCATCAGGTATGGCAGGGCCTTTCCCAAGCTTAGCTCACGCTACAGGAAGAGGCCTGGGAGGAGTGGTAGGGCCGGTGGTCCTGCTGCGAGGCCAGCTGGGGATCCAGCTCCTATAATCAAGTTGTCTGCTGCTCTCTGAACTCATAAAGATCGACTTTGGACCTTCAACGTGGTCTTGCCCTCGACTGTGGGTGTGGCTCAGCCACTTCAGGTTCCACTTACAACACGGCATCCCTAACTGCACCTCCATGTGGGCCTGGGCCTCCTCTGTTGCTCCAGCTGGGCAGGTCCCACAGCCTCAGTGTCTCAGGGAGAGGCCCTGGCCCTGGGCGATGATGGAGCACAGCGCCTCCTATAGGGTCAGGTTCACAGTCAGTGAAACCGACTCATGAAGACAGCCAGGGGGACACCAGGACCTGGATGCTGTCCTGGGCTCACAGTATCCAGAAATCCCTGGGGAAAAAAAAAATCTCTGTTTCTGTTCTCTCAGCTATAAATCAATGAGCAACTACATGAGAACATAAAACTTATTTCAATTTCTACTTGCCCCCCACTGCCATAACCCACAATTAAGATTTGATTGGACACTTTTCTCTCCCCTACTCTTATGGAATTTTAATGTCCCCAAATGGGTTGGCCCAAGAAATAAAACAACCATGGCCGGCTAGGTTGTCTGTATTGTAGGAACAGGCATTCCCCAGGCAGGGGTGACGTTTTGGTCTGTGAAGTGTCAAGATGCTCTATAACAAGATTTGTCTGCATCAAACGTGGGAGAAAACTCCAGTAACTTTGGAGAATTGACACTTCATCTTTTAAATCAGAAGTGACATGGTTTAAAACAAAAGATCAAGTCAGTTATTCTACCTAGCAAAAAGATATTGCTCTCTCATGAATTATATTACCTGTAGGCTAGGTTTGAAGAATCTTGGTGAGGTGGGAAAACTGGATGGGTCAGCAGATGTTTGAATGAAGAGACCAAGGCCTGCTTTTTGCAAATGACATGTGTGTTTCAGTTGCCCCTGCTATACCTGAGGTAGAGACAAGTTGAATAAATCAAGTTGGCACTGACCTTTAATTGTCTTCTTTTTTTTAAGACCCATTGGGGAATTTCTCCACGGTTCCCTTCCTGAAGACAGACGTGGCTGTGGATTTTCCAATGAGCTCTGTGAAACTGAGCCTGTTTTTGCAGATCAGTGTGGCCACCTGGAGAAGGCAGCAGGAAAGGACTCTTTACAAAAGGGCTTCTCAGCAGTGGCAACAGCATTGATGTTTAGGACGAGATCATCTTTGTGTGTAAGGGGCTGTCCTGTGCCTTGTAGGAGGCCTAGCAGCATCCCTGGCCTCCACTCCACCCACTAGATGCCAGCAGCACCCTTTAGCTCTAACAGCTCCAAATGTCTCCAGACATTGCCAAATATCCCCTGGAGAGGCAACGTCATGGCCTCCCCTGTTGAGAACCTCTGCCCTGGGGAAACCCGGCTCCTGAGATTTGAGTCTCAGGAATTCCATTTCTATGGAGGTAGAGTCTGGACAAGGGAGTGTTGCATGGTGGTTAGGAGCCCAGGCCTGGAATGAGGTGGATCATAACTGAGAACAAGTGTAAGAAGAGCACATAGTAAATGTTGAATGAAAGGTGGTGATGGTCTTAGAAGTCATCCTGTTTTTCTCTACAAGGGAAGTTTTTATCTAAGGAGGAGGTGAGTGCGGTTGCCATGGGAACCAGAGGGGTGTGGGAAGACCACGCACTTGGGGCCCAATAGGATTCCTGGAAAAAACAGGTCTGAGTGGACGCTGTGTGCCCTAACTTGGACCCGTGCCTGGGCAGCTTTTGAGCCATCTGTTTGGCAGGGCCGGGATGGGGCCCTGATGTGCTCACTTCTGCTCTTAGGTGGGCCTGAGTAACGATATGCCCTCCAGGTGTGACTGCTGTGATTTTCACCGTAACCCTCCTGATTACCAACCTGGGCGCTGTCATCATAGGTCTGATTTTTTTTTTTTTTTTCTTGCGTTATGCGGGCCTCTCACTGTTGTGGCCTCTCCCATTTGCGGAGCACAGGCTCCGGACGCGCAGGCTCAGCGGCCATGGCTCACGGGCCCAGCCGCTCCGCGGCATGTGGGATCCTCCCGAAACGGGGCACGAAGCCGCGTCTCCTGCATCGGCAGGCGGACTCTCAAGCACTGCGCCACCAGGGAAGCCCCATAGGTCTGATTTTAAGGACACAGAGGGAAAAACCGCAGAGGCAAAATAAAGGTCTCTGGTGGCAAATCAATTATGATGACATCACCATTCTGTCCCAGAACAAGGTGAGGCCACGCCTGGCCCAGACATCCACCTTCCTGCTCACTGCTGGTGATTCGTGGAAGGGACCTGATCTGGGAGCTTGTGAGGGCGGAGGCTGACTCATTTATAAAGTGAGCTCTTAATGGAGAGTCTTAGGCCCTGAGTTCTGGTTCTAGAACTACCACTTTTTTGCTGGGAACATCATTTCCGAGCCTCAGTTTCTGAATACTTAAAAACGATCAGATGGCTTCTAAAGTTCCCTTCAGCCCAGGAACCCATATATCCTGTTCAAATATTAAAGCTGTCTCCTGGGGAGCATTTAGTTATTTTCAAAACCACATTAACTCCTTTAAACTACTGGTAACTAAGACAATATAATTCATTTACTCAACACACACGTGTTGCCTGTCTACTGTAGGCCAAGCAGAGTGCAAGGCACGCCACAAATGGATGCCTTCTGAGGGAAGTAAGTGCTCTGGGAGGTGTCTACAAGCTGAGGCAGAAACCCCGCAGGTAGAGGGATTGAATGTTACAGCATCATGAAGGCTTCAGAGAGGAGGTGACATCTGGGGAGAGTGGCTTTGCTAGTGGTGACCAGGAGAGGAGTAACGCAGGGTATGCTGAGGGCTTCTCAGGGCTGTGAAGCTGGGCACACATTTAATAAGCATGACATTATTTGATAAGTATATAACAGTTACATAATTCCAGAAAATATAGCCATGACTATCTTTTATGCATATCTTAAGCCTGAAGTTTTGAAGTCTCTTTTCTTTCCTTCCCTTTTTGTTTTGTTTTTGATGTAATCTTTGCAAGCATATATTGATTATTCTGGGGTCCTTACTGCCTTTCCAGAAAGGTTAGTGAGAATTGTTCTTTAGAGTAGAAAGATAGACCCAAGTTTCTATACTTTAATAAGAGCTCTTCGTTCCCGGGGGGGAGGTGGAGGGAGGGGGTGAATTTTGCTTTCATCTCAAGTGATTAAAAACCCAGAGCTGAAATAAATTTTACGTCAAAGATCAAGAATTTTAGAATTTCATATAGTACTTGTTCAGGAATACATGTTACTCATGATATTCAGAGAATAACAAGATATGCAGATCAACTACTGAATCAGAATTTATGTTTTTGAACAAATGTGTGAATCTTAAATATCTCAAAGCAAAAGAAAAGTGTTCTAGAATGTTGTTGCTTGTTAGAAAGCGCTCAAGTTAGACCAAGGTATACAGGTTTGTTCTACAGACATTTAGGTTAATTATAAAAGTAAGGAAAGCATGATGGGTCAACAATCAAACATTCCTCTCATGTTATGTGTATTTTGTTCCCGTTATATTGGCTGTATTTTCAAAATTGTAGTTTATAGTATGTTTCCTTTTATTGGTATCTTTGCATATACTATTCATTGAATAAATGAATTATGACTTTCAAGAAAAAAGGTGACTTGGCAGGTACCAAGTCAAGGAGGCTTCAACATGCTATGAGCAGGAGATTGGGGTTCATTTGTAAATTATTTTTCAAGTGTCCCTGGGGATTCTGGGGCTCACTGGTTTGGCCTTGGGCGAATGACAGAATGAGGTAGAGGTTGTGGGGAGGAATTCTGAGCTTCCTCTGCAACTATAGCAGCTCTGCTTTGAGCTATTGTTTTCTACGTTAGGGTTCAGAGTAAGACTCTTCTAGAAAAACAGGGCTCCTCTGTTTAAAATATATTCTCTAGGGGCTGGGGAGGCACTGGGGGTGTTACACAGAGAGTTCACCTCCTTAGATGCTCATTGAGGAAAATGACTGTGTCATCAGGTCCCACATCTAGTTAAGGGCCAAAGCCAGCACTTGAATTTGGGCAGCCTGACCCCAGAGTCTTAACCACGACATTGTGATGTTGGCACAGACACGAGAGTGGTGCGGGTAGCGGTT